TTATCCAAGAAGTAACAGATAAAGCATCAGGTTTTGTTGCCTGTTTTATTAATAAGACAGTATCTACTATGTCATGTTTTTAAAAAAATTTTTAAAGGACAGTATGGGGGAAAGTTACATTGAGACAAAGAACAAAAGGAAAATTACAATCCAATTTATACAATAAGATCATCACATAAATTAGACAGGATTAAGTAGATAAACTGGACATTAAAAATAAATTATACCTGCTTTCACAATTATGAGCCTGTATAAAGACAGTCAGACACAGACACACACACCATCATCCTTAGTCTTACTTCTCTTACTCAAAGAACAATAGCCAGTTGTACGTAAAAGCTCAAGTATTTTACTCCAGGAAAATATCCAGAAGAGATGAAGGACAGGTAGGAAGGGACCAGAACAAACTACACAGACAATGCCTGGCAGAAGATGTTCAAAATGTAATGAACACCACAGAAAATGATGGGATGGACATAGAACTGCTTTTTTCATGGGTAACTAAGGGTAAACACTGCCTCTTCCCTATAGCATAATTATCTCTTCACACAAAGTAACCTTAAGAGATATATATTTATCTGTCCCAGATTCCCTAGAGACAGACTGTTCTGTTTTACTTTTCTATTCCTTTGAAATACTTACTATCATCGCCAACAGGACCTGCTGAACACTGTGCTGGGGGATCCCGTGCCAGGTCATTCAACTCCTTAAGAAAGAAGAAAAGAAATTTATTCAACATAAATGTAACTTCTATCCATTAATAAAATTTATACTGTTACCAATATTCTCTGTCCTACTGGTAAAGCTCTTTTAGAAGCATTCCTTCATAGTCAGAGAGAAGTAGACTGGTGAATCCTTAAGTTAAAGCATTTTGGATTCTTCAATGTAAATGAATGTTTTTAAAAGTGGGTCATTTTTGCTTTGTTCAGAGTTTACTAGGTAAATATGGAAAGGAAGGTAAACGAGTATCATGTACTAATTTTGTGAGCAACAAAAACTGTGTTAAGGTAAAAATTTCATTTGCTATTTTTCAAAAAAGATTCAAGGCCAATTTTTGTATCTCAAAACTATTATGTTACACTTGGGATAAGCTCTTGAAGTCATAAATGTTCCAGAATTATACTGGACCATCTGACAAGATGTTGATATGTTTTCAGCTGATGTTCGCTACCAGGGTTCCAAAGGTAATAGAAGAAACTTTGAAAGAGTATGTTTTAAAAGGCTGACTGAAGTAATAAAACTCACCATAAAGCTTTCTAGTCAGAGACTGATCGACCTGTGATAATGCTCTACAACCAGATGTCAGCTTCTTAGCTATTTTAACATAAGAGCCCAGAAACCTGAGACTTGCTATTGGGTGGGGATGCCTAAAAATCACAAGGCAGGAAATCATACTATATTCCATTTCCCCTCAGCTTGGTTTTTGAGATAAAAACAAGTTCTGGGGAAAAACTAGTTTTAGATTACATTTTAAAACTGCAACAGTTGTAACAGTAAAGTCTAATATTTTTTAAATGCAATAAAAACTATTAAGACATATAAATGAGTTTTATGAAGGTGTGTTTTTAAATTTATTTTTTAATTAGCTGTACAAATGTTTTTCTATAAATCCCTTCCTCAGAGTTAAGTTATTCAACCAGTCATTTTAGTGCAGCAATTATACTGTTTTATCTTATTTGTAAGCTTGGAATACAAAGCATAAAGTACAGAAACAAGTTTGAAAAAAAAAAAAGGTGGCACTGGGATTGAGATAAAGATTAACATTTAACCTTCTTAAGTATCTCAATTTTTGGATTTTGTGTCTTCCTACAACAGAGATTTCCTGCCCATCTCCAGAAAAAAAAATAATAGCCTACTGTACAGTTCCCATTCCCAAATGTTATTGGCAATACAGGTAAGTATAACTAAGAACACTTGCTTGATTTAAGACACTGCTATATCGCAACAGGTTGCTAGTAAAATATAATTTGAATTTAACAAGCTATTCTGAAGTTCTACCACGTTCATTAAATGGAATTTTACTTTTGATTTAGCCTTAATCTTTTGCTCCTTTCAAATTGAGTTACTTTTTTTCTCATGCTGAATGACATCAAGGTTTAACCCCCAGGGCGAAGATTTATCTAAGCTGAACATAAGATCCATCAGTCCATTTCATGAGCCAGTATGATATAATAAATTTTGAAAACCTAATCCAAACTTAGGCTAATAGACATTTAACACACTCATTCAACACTTCTTGGTTCAAGGCACTAATATGGATGAATCTCAAAGGCATAATGCTAAGCGAAAGAAGCCAGACATAAAAAAAGACTACATACTGCATGATTTCATTCACAAGACATTCTAGAAAAAGGCAAAACTATAGTGACAGAAAGCAGATCAACAGTTCCAGTGGCTGGGGGAAGTTGGAAGGGGGACCGACTATAAACAAACACGAAGAAACTTTGGGGGATGATGGAAAACGTCTATATCATGATTTTGGTAGAGGTTGCACAGCTCTATGTATACTTGTCAAAACTCAAATTGTACACTCAAAATTGTTGAATCTTGCTATGCACAATACTGAATATTATCTCAAAGTTGTTTATTTTTAAAAGCACATAACCATTCATCTTTGCATGTGCATAAAATATCTCTAAAGAATACAAGAAAGGCCAGGCGCGGTGGCTCATGCCTGTAATCCTAGCACTCTGGGAGGCCGAGCCTGGAGGATCACTTGAGCTCAGGAGTTCCAGACCAACCTGAGTAAGAGCGAGACCCCAACTCTACTAAAAATAGAAAAAATTAGCCGGGCATGGTGGCACGCGCCTGTAATCCCAGCTACTCAGGAGGCTGAGGCAGGAGGATTGCTTGAGCCTAGGAGTTTAAGGTTGCTGTGAGCTAGGCCGACACACTCTAGCCTGGACAACGGATTGAGACTCTGTCTCAAAAAAGAAAAAAAACAACAACAAAAATACCCCACAGAAACTAGTTAATAGTAACTACTATTAACTTCAGGAAGGAAAAGCTTGCTGTGGTGGTGAGAATAGGAATTGTATCTATTCCTTTTATACCTTTTGAATTTTATAAAAAGTATACGTATTGCCTATTTGAAAAATAAATTACCTTTGTTTTGTTTTTTTAACCAAATGGGTCCATGGAAAAATTACCTTTTTTAACTGTAAATTTGGATTAAAATAAAATACCTATTAAAAGTTGTCACATCTGAAGGATAATCTAAATAGTGAAAACTCAGTTATACCGAACATACAACTTATAAAAATTGATGTCTCTACATCAAGATAAAAACTGAAGCTAAATCTTAAAATTTAATAAAGGTACTGATCTAGACAGAATATGCGGGCAGGAAAAAAAACACCCAAAATATATCAGGCTGTGTTTTAACAGTTGGCTTTAAATCTACACATTAATTTCTCCAACTTTCTATTTTACAAGAAAATGTATTCAGAGTTGTCTTGTATATCATATAGCAAATTATACATTACGGAGACTGAAAGTAGGGCTACAACAAAATCCAAAACCAAGGAATCAGTCTGTTTACTGAAAAACTTTTGTGTAGAAGAGTACTAGAGAAATAAAGTACAGCCAGCCCTCTGTACCTGTAGGTTCTGCATCCATAGATTTTGGTACCTGAGGAAGGTCCTGGAACCAATCTTCCATGGATACTGAGGGATGACTATATATATAATTTAGAAAAAGTGGGGGTAGGGAACTTTGATAGTTAAGGTAGGAAATCCTCTATTTATAGAAAGATTTTCTCGTCTAACTGTCCTTGAAATCTAAAAAACATTAAATATTTCACTCAGTTTAAACATCTCTTTCTTGCTGTATACTCACTTTGTCTATAGGAATACAGCAGAACTAAAATCTTTAAAAATCAAGAGATATAAATAATTTTGATTCTCTGAAATTATCCTAAGTGTTTTTCATCTTAGTTTAAACAGCCCCAAAATCTTAAATCAGTTAGTTGAA